CGCGGGCGCCGGAATCGCCCGACTCGCACGGCCTGCCCGCGGCGCGCCCGCGGCTCCGCCATGCGGGTTGAGGGCACGAAGCAAGGGCGTACGCCCAGCTCGCTCGCGGTTCCCCTCGCCCCGGATGTGACTGTTCGGCCGAGGCGCCTCGCGTCCTACAGCTGAAGCGATTGGGCGCCGGCTGGTGAGGTCATTACGCGGCGCGGAGTTGGGGGAGCGGGAAGCGCAGGGAAGCGGCTGGCGTCGGTGAGTTCGTGGCTGTCCTTCGGTGTTTTCTCCCACTTTCTGGTCTAGTGGCTCCGCAGCGGCTCCCTGGGTCCCCTTTCTTTTGAGATGTCCCAGTGTCCGTTAGATCCCTGTTTCAGACCAACGCATGAAACTTCTCCTGCCTTACGAGGCAGTTGCTACCTCCGCCACCTGCTGCTTGAGTTGGAGTTTCTTTACCTTTCGCATTTGAGGTGCTCTTTGCCTGGTCAGGTCCTCTCCCTGAGTACCGGTACATTTCAGAACCTGTGTCCTATCGTATATCCCAAGAATGAGGTTGCCACATTTGAGCCGTCCTTCCCCACCCCCTCAAAGTACTGTGCTCCATTGTGAAGCCTTTTCCAGCCTTTCCTCCTAACCTATTGATTGATAAGAGGATGAAGGCAGTGTGTTTTAATTAAAAATTCCAAGAGTGAGAATGTTTAGCGAAGGCTATAATTATATTTCTCTTTTGGAAGAAAAAGACTTTTCAACATTATTTGCTCATACCGCGTTTTCTTAGGTGGTCCCCAAAGTTTTCTGACAGCCTTTAGCTGTGCTTAGAGAAAATAATAAAACACTAAATGAGGTAGGTAATTATTATAATAATAGGATTCACAGATCTCTTACCTTCATGGAATAGGAAATCTTTACAGAAGCTTCCCTGCTATGTATATTTGATTTCTCCTCCAGTAAAAACAAAAGAACCACCACCTTCTCCATTCTTCTTCCGAGGTTTTCTTCTCCAAGCTTAGTAACAAAGATCCTTTTCATTATTATTAATGTTAATGCCACAGCCCTTCAGTTATTTTGGTTACTCTCCAGTTTTGCCACATCAAGACCAGCTTTGGAAAATTGAAATGTAAAAAAGAAAAACTGACCTTTCTTTATTGTGATAATAGTGACTCATATTTCTTAAATATGGAATTCAAGTTCATTGAGTGTAACTTCTGAATAAGGAAGTTATTCATTATTCATTTTTCAGCTTTCACCCATAGAAAGGAGAACCAAGTTTTGTCTGGAAAGGTAGTTATGTTTGTCTTAAATCTTCCAGGATAAGTAGACTGCATCCAGCTGAGAAAAGGAGAGGGTAAAGAACAGAAAGGATGAACAGCTTTGAAGGCAGGGATACTTAAAAAGGTCAAGTGAGTAAGTGAAAATATGACTAGGACATAGTATTTAAAGATTATTCAGTTTAATTAAAGATGCTGACTGTTTCCCTATCAGTGTAGGTGAGGTAGAGCGCCTTTGAAGATTCTAATGAGATAATTCTGCTGCTAATCTTGTCCAGCTCAAGGAGGTGGCTTTCAGTTGCAAATTTCCAAGTGGCCCAAATAGAATTTCGAGGTAGAAAGAGATTTCCTTTACCACTGCCTCCTTTTCATTCTATGTATCATTTGCTTACCCTCCTGACATGACCCTCTTTGATGTTCATTACTCTTGTTCTGATCTTTGACTCTTCAGAATTGCCACCTGCACACCTCCCTTTCTAAAAATACTCTCAAATTACCCCACCTTTTCCTGTCCCTCCTTTATTTCATTAGGTGTTGAAGAAATCTATTATGTAATTAAAGTAATCACAATAGGATGTGATTAATATATTTGACCCTTTTGGCATCTATGAATGAGAAGAGAAACTTGTTAGCTTGATACCTGAATGTGAGAATTGTATCACTTACCTATATCTGCTAGACATTTCAGCCCCAGTTAATAAAATAACAAGGGGCTTGCTAGCTCATTTCTGAAATTGTCATCATTTAACTATATATTTCTACTACCTTCCATAGAAGTCTGATGATTTAACACTCTTTGAATGAAGTCCTCAGTTGTATTTCAAGTAATAACAAATAATTTTTAAATTTGTAGATTAAGTAAAGCAAGTGATTTCTGGTGTTCTGATTGAATCAATAATCTGCATGATGAATATTAACTGACTAAACTTAAAAGCCTCAGTGTGACAATTACTGGAGTTTTCTCAATTATTTTTTCTTAATGTTCCCCATAATAGTCCTATTTTTATTTTTTAATTTTTTTTGACTAGGTGATCAGTAGAGTGTAGAGTGCAGACTTTGAAGCAAAATTAAAAGGAAATAAATGCTCTGTACCCTAAAAGTACTTTACTGTGTTAAACAAAATTATTAATAACTTATATGGCCTTTTCAGTAGTTAATGCAAATTTCATATTTTGAGGTAGAATGTTGTCTGTCATATCGTAATTAGTCCACAAAGAATTCCTGCACCTAAGTAATAATGCCTTTCATTTTAAATTGCAAGTTCTTTTTATTTGGTTTATCTAGAACATTAGGCAAGCATTTTTGTTATGGTAGAAAATTATTTTAGTACTTGTCAGCAAAAATCAAACCACCAGGCTTCCCTGTCTTTACCTCCCTCTGAGTCATTTCCTCTCTAGGCCTCTCCTTTAAAACCTATTGGTTAATTTCCTTTGTGTACTAGTTCTACTGAATTGTCTTTTTCCCATTTGTCATCTTTATGAAGGTGACAAATTTGTCTTTTTCCCATTTGTCATCTTTATGAAGATTGTTCTCATTTTGTGATTTGTTACTAAATTAAGGAGAAATAATTTTTGTGTTAGGAATAGAAATTTTAGGTAGATTGCCATTACAAAGTATTTTCAAAACATGGTTAGGACATTTATCTTTGTATCACTGAACTAATTTCAGGTATCTTCCCCCCTACCCCCCCCACCATCTTTTCTTTGTCCCTTTCCCTTCTCCCTCTTGTGTCAGTGCCCAGGATGTTAAGTCTAAGCACTATGAAGCTACCCACAGCCACTGCAGCATGAGTTCAATCCCCAACGAGGGAGCTAACCCACATGGTGCCCCAGACCTCTCCTGCCACTCCCCTCAGCAGTATTTCAGTGGATCTGCCTAGTCTCTGGTGAATTCTGTCACCTTCCCTGCACCTCTGGCCTATCTCCCAGCTCTTGTATGCATAAATAAACACACACATAAACATATACATATACATACATGTCTGCAATGTAAATATCCAGTAGTTGTTTTTATCATTCTAACTTACTTTGTTGCACACAATTCTCTTAAGTTCCCTCCAGTTTGTGGAAATTGAATGCATTTATGTATTTCATCCTTTCTTATGACCATGTAATTCCCATGCTGTGGATGTACCACACCTTGATCCAGTCATCAGCTGATGGGCATTTAGTCAGTTTCCATATCCTAACTATTATAAATAAAACTGCTATGAATATTGAGGAAACATGGGTTTTCGTTTTGATGGGTTCATAGTCTCTGGATATATGCCAAAGAGGAGTTGCTGGGTCATACTGTGTTTCCATTTTTAGTTTTTTAAGATATATCCAGATTGCTTTCCAAAATGGTTGCAACCAGTTTACATTCCCACCCACAGTCTAATGGGGTTCTTTTTTTCCCACATCCTCTCCAGCATTTGTTGGGGGTCTTTTTAATATGTACCATTCTCACTGGCATAAGGCTGTGTTAACCTGAACCTATTATTAGCAGTGACAATGAACTTTTTCTTTCTTTTTTTTTTGGCCTTTTGAACATCCTCTTGGGTGACTATTCTGTTCACATCAACTGCCAACTTACTAACTGGATTTTTTATTTTTTAGATGTATGTTTTTATGTATCTTGAATATTAATCCCTTATCTGTTATATATTTTATAATAAACATTTTCTACCATCCAATAAATAACTTTCTAGTAGTCTTTCTTTCACTGTACAGAAGCCTTTTAACTTGAGGTAATCCAATGATTTCCTTTTGTTTTTAATTTTCTTGTCATAGAGACCAGTAAGTTCAGGTCCTTTTATGTGAAAATAGCAAAGCCACCATTACATTTTTTTTTAAAGATTTATTTATTTATGCATACAAGAGCTGAGGTATAAGCCAGAGGTGCAGGGTGAGAGGATTCACCAGAGACAGAGGAGGAAGCAGAACAGGTAGGTCCATTGAAGTACACTGCTGAGGGGAGCAGTAGGCAGGACAGGAGAGGTCTGCCATGCTATGTGGGTCAGCTCCCTGACTTGGAATCAAACTCATGCTTCAGTGGCTGTGACTAGCCATGCTTAACCCATTAATCCACTGGGGAAAGCCCCCACTGTGGCTTTTTTTTTCCCCACTATATTTTCCCTTGCTTCTGAAGTGAAAAATATGTATAAATAGATGTGTTCATTTCCCTTTGTCAAACCATTTAGAGGTGTATAGATAGATGTGTTTATTTCCCTTTGTCAAACCATTTAGAGGTGTATAAATTGCCCTTGATAGACATTTTTGCTTTAACCAGTTGGCAGTTATGGGAGAGTAGTAGTATGTGGCAATTCCAGTTTATAGAGTTGTTAGTCTAGCATATCCAGAATCTAAATTGTGCAGTTTTTAAGTACTGTAGTTATATAAGAGAAAGTAGGTGATACTGTGATTAAAATGTTGTGAATATAGACATAAAGAAAAGCAGTAATGAATTATTCATTTTTTCTTTTAAAGAATACTACAATTAAAATTATTGGAAAAGTCTTCATTATTTTTAAAAGTTATAAATGATACTGATATTGCTAGCCTGGAGGCCATATTTTGAGGACCATCGGTGTATATATATGATACCAGCTTGACCAGCCTAATAAAATAACGACAGTGATGATGATAGTATTTGTTGAGTACTTACTGTGTACCCTACACTATTATATTTGCCTTACCTATATTCTGATTCTCTGAAATGGGTGTTATTATTATTACTCCCATATTGTAGAGAAGGAAAATGAATCAGAAGATTCAGTAACATCCAGAGTTACCCAACTAACAGAACTATTTGCCCAGAGAGTTTAGCTCCAGAACTCACTCTCTAGGACATTATTCACATAACAACTTGATGATTGTTCAGTGTTCTCTTTAAAGTATTTTTTCCTAATTTAAAATAATTTCCCTAATTTCAAATTTATTACCTACTCTCTATAAATTATTTTTTTTTAAAGATATGCCGGATATGTTGTTTTTACCTGACAATTCAGAGGTGCGTTAATTGAAATATTGTGTACTGGTAACCAGTGTTTATTCTCAGGTGACCCTTATATCAAAGGTTGGAGGGGCAGACCTACCTGGATCCCTTAATGCAAGAGAAGCCCATTTAGGCATTTGCTTGCCCATTACACCAACCCGTGTTCATCTAGGCTTTTGTAGATGTCGTCTTCAAATGTCTTATTTTTTATATGTCTACAGTATCTAATTATATTGCTTAATGAATATGTCTTCTACTGTCAAGTTCTTATATAAAACATGAGATAACAGTTTCCCTCCCCCCCTCTTCACAGAGTCTTCTGAGCCATTATGGCAGTCAAGTGGACTGGTGGACATTCTACTCCTATTCTCTGCCTGAATGCAAGTCGAGAAGGGCTAGTGGCTTCTGGAGCAGAAGGTGGAGACCTGCACCTCTGGGGTGAAGATGGGACTCCATTGGGACACACACGCTTCCAAGGGGCTGATGATGTTACCAGTGTCTTATTCTCTCCTTCCTGCCCCAACAAGATCTATGCTTCCCATGGGGAAACCATTAGCATACTGGATGTCAGGTCTCTCAAAGGTTCCCTGGATTGTTTTCATGTGAATGAGGAAGAAGTCAATTGTCTTTCATTGAATGAAACTGAAAATCTACTGGCTTCTGCTGATGACTCTGGGGCAATCAAAATCCTAGACTTGGAAAATAAGAAAGTTAGCAGATCCCTGAAGAGACATTCTAATATCTGTTCATCTGTAGCTTTTCGGCCTCAGAGGCCTCAGAGCCTGGTATCATGTGGACTGGATATGCAGGTGATGCTTTATAGAGTTCATGGGTAATTTCTAAATGGGATTTGCTAACAGAATTAAGTTATTGATTAAGTTTAATATATCTCTCTCTGTTCTGTTATATAGAGACATGATTTGCCTATTTATGAACTATTAGCTGCTTCTTCATGTTTACTGCTAACCTGACAGACTACTGGATTTTGTTCACAAAGTAATCATTAATCCTTTAGACTTTCTTTTACTTTGCTTTAAGACAAACAGGTATTTGGTTCTAAACATCTGTTGAAACAAGGGGCATGCTTAAGGCAAAGTTTATTACCTACTCTCTAAATTTTTTTTTTAAAGAAAGAAGATTGAAGGTGCTGGATATGTTGTTTTTACCTTAAAATTCAGAGGTGCATTAGTTAAAATATTGTGTACTGGTAACTAAAATCAGCATTGTATATACAATGCTGAGTTTTGAAAAAAACATTAGCAATTAGCCCAAATGCAGAAAATGGCCACCAGGAGCATGTATGTGTATATATGCATTTATGTATGTATGTGTGTTCACTTATACACATACACACACAGTGCTGTGGGGAGGAACTTGAGGGGGAAAAGTGGAATAAGCTGACTTTAAAGAAGCATAGGGAAAGGAAACTTTAAATAGCTTGACTTTCCCACTGTATATTCATTTCCTCTTGAGAATAAATATCTTTTAGGTTATTAATGGAGTGAGAATAACCATGGCTTCTCTTTGGTGAGCACTTAATATATATATTAATTTTTACTCTAATCACACTCTGATAGTTATATATATATTTTAATCAATGAAATTAAAATTGTGTCCATACAGCTGCCTGAATTGGGATTGAAACCTCAGTGTCTATGGCTCCAAGACCTATTGTTTTTTCCTCTATGATATCACAGAATTGATTATCAAGCAGAACGTCATCACCAATAAAAAAATTTTTTAAGGTGTTGGCTTCAGAACAATTTCTAGAAAAAAAAAAAACATATTTTAGTTAATGACCTATGTACCTTTGTATTAACTATACAAAGATCTTTCTTAGATTCTGTCAGTAGTAGCAAAGGTTTTCTTTGCTACTCAGAGGCAATGACCTTAAGTATTTGAGATTGTTCTTCTTGGTCAATGGTCTTTACCAGTCCCCCTCTACCCTCCACACACACCCCAAAATTTAGAATAAATGAGACTGGGTTTTGTTGTTGTCATCTGTGAGTGCCTTCTCTGTAGGTGACACTTAGTATGCAAAATCAGTGGATGTCCTGTAGTGTGGGGACCATCCTTAAAATAATAAAGGTTGACCTTCCAAAAATACCTATATCATTTCTATTGATAATGATTCTATATTTAGGGCATAATGATCCTGCAGCCTCTAAAGTTGTTTTCCACTCCTTGGTCTTGACCAAACCCTTTATTGAGCTACATTTTCTTAGTGGTGATAATCTGTCTACTTGGTTGTACAGGACCACCCTCACAACCAGAGATCTGTTTTAAGTAGAATGTACAATTTCTTTCTTTCTAGTCATTCTTCATCCTTCTTCTATACCAGTTTTCAATCACGGGTTCATTAATCAACCACTAGACATGACAATAGATAAGTATGCAAAAATGACCAGTATTCACATTAGATAAGAAATGAGCATCCAAGTTGTAGGCCAGAAGTTTTAGTGGCAGGCAGCTGCTAGAAGACAGTGTAGGAAATAGTTTGTGAAAAGAGTTAGGTAATTGCCTTTTTTATTTGGGGGCTAGGAGGAGATTAGGTAATTATTTGACTGCCCAGAACTGCTAAAAATTCACTGTAGATCAGCTTCTGCCCTGAGTTCTGATATACAGTAAGACAGCACAGCCATACTTTTAAGAAATTACTTCCTTAACAGCATTGTAACCACTTTACTTTTTAAAACTTGTTATCCAGTATTCTAAAGTTTAAAAATAGCTAGCCTATGGGGCCCGGGGGCGGGGTGGGGGTGGCTGGCAACCAAGAAGGTAGACAGGATAGGTTTTTATCAGGTCAATTTTGAGTTATTTCTGAGCAAATTCATTATATCTTAAGGTAGGAACTGAATTTCTGCCATTCTAAGTATGTTTGACATACCTATCAGTGTTATTGTAGAAATTATAAAAATAATATCCTTTGATTTAGATAGGTTCAAATAATTAAGCAAAGCACACTCAGAGACAATGACCTTAAGTTTTTGAGATTGTTTAATTTTTTATTAAATAGATGCAGAATAATTATAGTGTAAATTACAAAGAAATATTAAATGCCTGTGTCTCCACTATTCAAGTATAATTTTTTTCTTATGAAGATACTTAGAAATTTGAGACCATATATTTCTATAACATCCATATTGATCCTTTTTCCCCTCATTTTTGTATCTGAAAATAAATATTTCACACATTTGTTCTTTTTTAGAGTTTGAAAGCTTTCTAATACTAACACAAAGATCAAGATAGTGGAGGAGGCTTTTTTTTTTATGAATCATATGGGAAGAAGTTTTTGTATAAGGAGAAAATTTTTAGCAGGATCACATAATATGACTGCATTAACTTTTGATCATTAACCACTTGTATATTTCTTTCCCTTTGACATTTTTATAGGATCATAAATCCCAAAGTCTCGTATTCTTTTTATTCAGTGTCTCTAGCTCTCCTGCATAGTGATACTACTTGAAAAGGTGTTGAGAAATTACAAGTATGAAACATTGTTCTCTTTGAAAATATTGACAATAGGCTCTCCCTGGGGGCAAAATGGGTTAAAGCACAGCACTATAACCTAGCTACCTTCGCTTCAGTGCAAGGTCAATCCCCAGCCCTGGAGGTGAACCACATGGTGCAGCAGACTTCTCCTGACCTGCCCACTGCTCCCCTCAACAGTGTACTTCATCAGGCAGTCTGTTCTCCTCCCTACTCTGTCTCTGGTGACTCCTCTCACTGCCCCTGCACCTCTGGCCTATACTCCAGTCCTGTATGCATAAATAAATCTTTGAAAAAAAAAAAGAAAGTGTTGAAAATATTTTCCTTTCTAGGAAAGGAAGTTGAAAGTTAGGAAAAATAAAGAAGTACAAAGAAGCAACCTGAAAATCTTCAATACTTGTAAATCATTCTTGAATTATACTCTGTCATGACTAGTAACGCATTTAGATAATTTTAGTAAGTACAACAGTGTTTTAAGCTGCTGAAAACATTTTTTGAATATGGTTCGTGTTTGGATGTTTTAGAAGTAGACAGAAAATATCACCCAGATTGTGAAAAATATCACTCTGGGATACCTACCAATACACTTAAACTAGGAGATTCTGGGATGTCCATTACTCATTCATTTTTGTTATATTTTCTGATATTACTTTATTTTAATTTATTTCAATTTGATAGTATGTTGGCTTCACCCAAATAGTGATAGCTGGCTACTTGGTTAGTACTGTGAATTCAGGCCCCCCTTGGTGGCGCAGCAGATTTAAGCACAGCACTAAGAAAGTAAAACCACTTCAGCATTCATTCAATCCCTGCCCCAGAGCTCACTCACATGGCCCAGCAGACCTCTCCTGACCCACACGCTGCTCCCCTCAGCAGTGTACTTCGTTCTATACTGCCTGTTCTGCTCCCCACTCTGTCTCTGGTGAAGCCTCTCACCGCCCCTGCACCTCTGGCCTGTACCAGAGGTGGTACAGTTCTGTATGCATAAATAAATAAATCTTTAAACATATATATTATGAATTCCATCCAAAAGGATTTTCAGTGCTTTCCCTAGTAGAAAAGTCTAAACAAACATTAAATAGATGTCCCTTTGGAAAGTAGTCTGAGTCAAGGGAAGTTACTTTGAATAAAAAACCAAATCCTTAATATTTTCTGTAGTAGTGTCAATTCAGATCTGTCTAAAAAAAGGTCATGCTTATCCTAGTGTCCATTTTAAGTGGTGAGTCATAATTTGGGGATAAAATGAGGTGGTAAAATAAAGCCGTCTGTTCTCTTTGACAGCACTGAGAATATTTTCCTTCCTAGATGATTGCTATGGGGAGAGAATGAATCACTAGATTATTATGTCAAATCTTTTCATAAAGCTATTTTATTTTAAACAGTTTAATAATATTTTTGCTTAAATCAGTTAAATCATGATACAAGATCATGGTAGAGAACAACAAAAGGCCATATATACCACGTTGTTCCGATCAATCAATAAACATGTTTGGAATTTCTGATCTTTCCCAGGCACTATGCTAGGCCTTAGCAAAGATGAATTAAATTCCAGGAAACTAACAAAATAATAGTATGTGTCAGTTAATAGAACAGGAATTAAATAGAGAGGTCCTCCCTAGTGGTGCAGTGGTTAAAGCACACCACTTTGAAGCTTGTCGCAGCTGCTTCAGCATGAGTTGGATCCCCAGGCAGGGATGTGACCCACATGGCATGGCAGGCCTCTCCTGTCTCACCCCTACTCCCCTCAGCAGTGTACTTTGTCAATCTCCCTTTTCTACTTCCCACTCTGTCTCTGGTGAAACATCTCACTGCCCCTGCACATCTGGCCTGTACCCCAGTTCTATATACATAATTTTCTTTTTTTTTAAATACAGGAAGAGGGCAGTTAACTGGAATACATAGCTAGGGAATCTTTGGAGGTAGAGAAATTTGAGCGAAGCCCTCAGGGTGAATAATCTGGATAATGTAAAAGGAAAGGGAAAGCACTCCAGGTAGAAATTATTCCAGATTTAGATTTAGTTAATTTACTTGTTAATCATTTTTACTTGTAACTAGCATAGTCTAAAATTAATAAACTTCATTCTTATTTGAAGAGGTGAGGATAGATTGACTTAAACTGGCAGTGGCTTAAAGTGTTTGTGTGTGTTTTAATGAACTGATTAAAATGTAATTTGGAGGCACTTTCATGGGTTTATCAATCAAAATTATTTGGGATCTAGTTTTGTAAATTCTACCTTCCTCTATCCGTTAGCATTCTAGTTTTAACCCACAGGCAGCATTTCACTGGCATGCTGTAGTCTGATTTTTTTAATGTTATTGGGAATGTATTCTAATTACTGAGATTAATTTGATGACTTTATTAGTCATTAGCTATTAGAAGTAAAATAAGCATGACAGGTGAGTTCAATGACTAGAGTTGTGCTTGACTGTAACTTCTCTTATTTAAAGGTGATGCTTTGGAACCTTCAGAAAGCCCGGCCACTGTGGATTACAAATTTACAGGAAGATGAAACAGAAGAAATGGAAAGCCCAAAATCACCTGGTCAACTTTTAAACCCTGCTTTAGCTCACTCTGTGTCTGTAGCATCTTGTGGCAATATTTTTAGTTGTGGTGCAGAAGATGGTAAGGTTCGGGTCTTTAGGGTAATAGGAGTCAAATGTGAACAGGAACTAGGATTTAGGGGCCACACTTTGGGAGTATCCCAGGTCTACTTTCTGCCAGAATCCTATTTGCTGCTTACTGGAGGGAATGATGGAAAGATAATGGTGTGGGATATAACCAATGAAGTTGAGAAAAAACGGAAAAGTCCTACAAAACATACTCAAAGGAGGAAAACCAAAAGGCAAGGTGGAAAACCTAATGCTTCAGGAACAGATGAAGAATGTGGCAAAATTATACCAAAGCTAAGTATTGAACATGGAGAAAAAGTGAACTGGCTCTTGGGTACAAAAATAAAAGGACACCAAAATATATTAGTAGCCGATCAAACCAGTTGTATATCTGTATATCTCTTAAATGAATTTTAAATCCAATAAAAACATTTGAAAAACTGCAAGGCAGTTTTTGTTGTATTTTTTAGACAGTTTGTGCTTTTAGGCCAAAAAAGCCTTAATTTTTCACTTAAAGCATGTCTTATGCAGAGTAACAGCAATTCATTGTATAAATTTTTTTTTTAAGATTTATTTATTTGTGCATACAGAACTGGGGTACAGGCCAGAGACTCAGGGGTGGCGAAAGACTTCACCAGAGACAGAGTGGGGAGCAGAACAGGCAGATCGATGAAGTACACTGCTGAGGGGAGCAGCGGGCGGGTCAGGAGAGGTCTGCCGTGCCATGTGGTCACCTCCAGGGCAGGCGGGAATCGAACTCATGCAGAAGTGGCTTTTAGCCTTTTAGTGCTGTGCTTTAACCTGCTGCGCCACCAGGGAGGGCCCTCATTGTATAAATTTTAAGGCATCTGAACAAAAAAGGTAATATTTTATACAATAAATGACATTAAAATTTAGGGGAAGAAACTAATATTCACTGAATACTGATCATGTACTCAGCCATTTCATATACATTTCAATATGTAAATGATGCATGTATTTTATATATATGTAATTTCTTATTCCAAATCAAGAAAGTAGATGATTTCCCCCATTTTAATGCCACTATAATCGAACTTAAGAATAAAAAAAAAATTGCAGGCACAATTAAGTTGCCTACAAAAGCCCTTGGTTGTCTTATCAAGCCCACTGTATGAGGGAAATGTGTATCTTGACCCAGTTGCGGATACCACATCAGTTATTTTTGGATCCTGGAATGTCATGATTATCCTTAGTAAAATGGAAGAAGCAAGAAACCCGTTCATTCTTGTTCTATATAAAACCCAAGTTTTGCTACACCATTTGCTAATGTTTCTAAGAAGAGCATGCCAGGGTCAGATTAGTTTAAGATGTTAGGCAACTATCAATGCCATGTTGCTGGTGAGGCCAAGAATAAGCTGAGGTTATGAATAAACAAGTGACTCAGCAAAAGCTACAACAGAGATTAGAGGCCCAGGTAATGTGTCAAGAGTTAAATTCCTTTTCATCATGACCTAATTGCTGTCCCTGGATATAACCTGATTGGTCTGACTTAGTAGTTCTTAGCTTGCTGTTTACATTGCCAAAGAGTCTAGTCCCATAGGTGGGGAGATGTTTCTCAGAGAAGGGGGCATGGCTGCATTAAGAATCCGAAGATCTCCAAACAGCTACTGATATTTTGTTAAATTTCCTGTGAGAATTGTATACTAAGTGAACTGCTCTTAGATTAGCTCTTTTTCTATAGTTTGACTCAGTTTGCAAGCATGTCTGGATGAATTTAGGTAATGAGTTTCAAGAAACAAAGGTAAACAAAAGAAAGCAACTCACCCTAGGAAAAAAAAAAAGCCAGGCTATCATTTTGTATGTAATTTAGGTCTAGTTGTTGGCCAGTCATTCAGATAAGAACTTCAAAATTGAACAGATAAGCACTTAAATAGTCACCCTTCAGAAGTGGACTTCCAATCTACCCCCAACCCCTGACAACTAGTAGGCTGAAAATGTCCCAAGGAGAACAGGTTCTAATCCCTTGAACCGGTCAATGCTACATTATTTGGGAAAAGGATCTTTACAGATATAATTATAGATCATAAAGGATTATGTTAACCATAGTTAGTGTACACTTGTCTATTAGAATGACATGGTTAAGGACAAGATTTCTTTCCTATTTAGTTCTGACTTTATGATTTGGCCTGTCTTGGACCCACCTACCTCCACCTGACACAAATAGTCATCATTAAATACCGAGTCAAGGGAGATGAAAATGCTGAGCTGTGGAAAGAAAATAATGACAACTGGCGGCAGGATTACCAAGCAACTAAACTCTGCCTGTTCTGGAGATTTTAATGCCAACTTCAGGGATATGTGTATCTTTTCCAACCAATAATTTATAGCCCTCCACAGGTTCATTTTACATTTGATACTCCCCTTCCAAATTACCATGAGGTGTCTGCAGGAGGGAAGATTGATCATTCCACTGGGCTAAGCTTCTTCAGAGACTGACTTAAGTAGAGAGCTCAGAGGGACATCTTGTGCTAGAGTGAACAAGGTACTCTGCTATCACTTCAAAGGAGGATTTAATCTAGGCCAGGACAGGATGTGGGAAAAATCCTGAACACTTCCGTAACACCTGGAGAGTCCCTGCCATACCCTGCTACTGTTGGTGGAAGAAAGGGCTGGGCAGGAAGTAAAATGATGTTTACCCAGGGCTTGGGGGGGGGGGGCGGAGGGTATAGAGGGGAATGGGAGAGATGTTGTTTAAAGTTGTTTAAAGCAACTAGCAGGTAAGTCCTGGAGACCTATTAGACCTAATTATAGATAACAAAAGTGTTTTATAAACAATTTGTTTAGAGGCTAGATCTTACTTAATTATTGGCCCAGTAAAGGTAATAATGCTACAATGGCAACTATATTCCAAGTTAAATACATAAAGTAAATATGTTGTACACCTTAGACCTACAGGTGGTAGTGTCATAAGTACCTCAATTTTTAAAATTAAGATAGAATATTATGTGAGCTATAGGAAGTTACATACCTATTGACTGATGAGAGCATTTAGGTTAGTGTATTATACTCAGGAAAGAAAGCAAGTTGAATAAAATTGAACAGAACATACTTGAATGTGAAAGTACTATCATCACTATAACCTGGTGAAAAGAAAATTTGTCATTACCATAAGAAACCCCATATCCATTTTCTCCTATCACAACATTCCAGGCAACCATTATATTTTACCGCTCTAGACATTTCATATAAATGGAATCATATAATGTGGTCTTTGTGACTGGCTTCTTTTACTTAGCAAAATGTCTTCAAGAGTTATACCATGTTGTGGCATATATCAGTACTTGGTTTCTTTCTAGTGCCAAATATTTAATTTTATGTATATATTATATTTTGTTTAAGCACTCATCAACTGATAGATATTTAGGTGATTTCCACTTTAGGGCTCTTATGAATAATGCTGCTGTAAATAAGCATACAACAAGAAGGAGGAGTGCTGGATCATATGGTAATCTCACGTTTATGTTTTGAAGAACTACCAAAATGATTGCATGCATCATTTTATATATCCAGCAACAAAGTATGAGGATTCCCACAGCCTCATCAAATTTGTTATTTTCTATATTTTTTATTAGTGTTATCCAAGTGGATGTAAAATAGTAGCTCATTGTAGTTTGGGTTTGTATTTCCCTAATGACTAACAAGCTTGAGCATACTGGCATGTGCTTACTGACTTGTGATCCGTGACAAAAACTTTTTCAGCAAAGTCGCCACACTAATTCATTTTATGCCATTATATATGAAATTGCTGGAACAACTGGTTATCATATGCCAAAAATTTAACCCAAACCTTATCTCACACCATAAGTAACGGATCACAGTACTAAACATAAGCGTTAACACTAAAATTTAAGAAACAAAGATATTTGTGACCATGAGCTAAGGCAAAGATTTCTTAGATGACCTGTAACATGACCTGTAAGAGAATAAAAAATTTAGACAAATTAAACCTCATCAAATGGAAAATTTTGCTCTTAAAAAAACTTTTTAAAGAAATGAAAAGCAAGCCATAGAATAGGAGAAAATATCTGTAGGAGACATGCTAAAAGAATTACATGCCACATGGGTGACTTGGTGATGGGAAACCCGCGGGGATTACAATTGAGATGGAAAAAAAAATGTACAAAAATGATGTAAAAATAAACTGTTATAAAAAATATTAAAAAAAAATTACATGCCAAACATATAAGAAACTCATAACTTAATGAGAGGACACTTCAATTAACAATGAACAAAGGATCTGAACAGAGGATAAGTGATTAGCCGATAAGTACATGAAAAGGTGCCTGACACTAATAGTCATTAGGCAAATGTGAAATGACACAAGTTATATCTATACATTTCCATCAAAAGGACTGAAAGACTGAATGCTGGTGAGGCTGCAGAGTATCTCTCATAGGTTGTTGGTAGATATGAAAATCTGAACTGTCACTTTTGAAAAGAATACTGCAGTTTTTATGATATCAAATAAATACCAACTATATGATCAAACAATTCCATGCTTAGGTATTTGCCCAAGAGAAATTAAAATGTACATCCACACAAATATCTCTACCTTAATGTCTATAACCACTTTATTCCTAATAGCCAAATTGTAAACAAAACAAGTGTTTGTCAACTGGTGACTATTTGAACATATTGCTCTATATCCATACAGTGGAATACTACTAAGCAAAGTAACGAAGTATTGACATATACAACATCATGGTTGAATCTTAAAGCATGAGACATGAAAGAAGCCGCACACACAGTACTGTATGGTTCCATATGACATTCTAGAAGAGGCAAAGCAGAAAGTAAATCAGATTATCTCGGTCAGAGGCAGGATACAGGATTGATTGCAAAGAAAAACAAAGGAGTTGGGAGAAGTGAATAGTGATGTTCTCTGAGCTTTACTGTGAGTATGGTATTGTTATATTACTGAAAACATTTGTCAGATCTCATCTAATTGTGTTTTTTAAATTATCTTATTATATCTAAATTATGTCTCAAAGTTGATTTTTACAAAATATTGCTTGCTATATAAAAGAGTCAAGCAAAGTGGTTTAGTTCTCTTTTCAAATCTGTCATCACTTCGTACCCTCATACATACAAAGTCTGGGACTTCCGTTACCATAATTTGTCTTGCTCTGATTTACCCTACCAATTTTTACTTACAATAAGTATTTTGTCCTTTAGTTTCACAACTTAACCATTTTTGATCCTTTCTTATTCTAGTTTAAAGTTATAATGGGGCCCTCCCTGGTGGTAAAGCAGGTTAAAGCACAGCACAAAAAAGCTAAAGCAACGTCAGCATGAGTTTGATCCCCGCCCAGAAAGTGACCCACATGGCACAGCAGACCTCTCCTGACCCACCCACTACTCCCCTCAACAGTGTACTTTGTCAATCAACCTGTTCTGCTCCCCACTCTTTCTCTGGTGAATTTTCTCACCATCCCTGCACCTCCGGCTTGTACCCTAGTTCTGTATGCATAAATAAATAAATCTTTAAAAAATTATAATGTTAGAAATAATAATGCAGAGTTTAAGCTGGGCATGTGTTTGAGAACACGCTGGTTTTCAGGAGACAAGTCTCACAGGTCACTAGAGTGATTGAATACAGTGTCAATAAGCCTTTCCCCAAAGCTCCACCATCAATTCACTCACAACAGTAGCAATAGTAACAGGAAGTCTTTATCATGTCATACAGAATTTTTGGTTTGAAAAATTCATAAAATCTAAAAATGTTTTTAATGACAGGTGTTAGTATTATAGTTTTTTTAATCTAAAATTTATGAACTAAAAATGCATAAACCAAATCATGTAGGAATTCAAACAAACATGTTTTAATTAAGTCATTCCCTGTCCAAAGAGTTATCAATTTGTCAAATGTAAAATAATCTCCCTCTAAAGCAATTTGTTGCCAAATCCATGATGTGAGCTCATTTAGTTTCAGTAAAATATCATCTATAATCATAAAAAGTTAATGTTGATAATTAATTGTTTTGTAAATTGGTTTGTACTTAATATGTAGGTTTGATTTTATACATGCTTAAGAATTACAAGTATAAAAAGTTCACACCTAATGTTAGGTATAAAATACTTAAGCAACAATATACTAAAACAGTTTTAGTATAATGATGAAATAACAATCATAGAAGTTTAATAATTTTTTCTTTTAAATGTATATGGTAGGGTCTCCCTGGAAAAGCAAGGGTAAGTCTCAGCACTATGAAGCTATGAGCAGGAGACAGATCCCTAGCCAGGGAGCTGACCACAGGGTGCAGCAGACCTCTCCTGTCTTACTTGCTGCCCCCTTCAGCAGTGTATTTCAGTCCATCTGCCTGTTCTGTCCCCACTGTTCCCTGGTGAATCCTCTCACCCTCCCTGCACCTCTGGCCTGCACCCCAGCCCTTATGTGCATAAATAAATAAATCTTAAAAAAAAAGAAAAACATATGCAGTACGCAGGCCTCCCTGGTGACACAGGGGTTAAAATCTCAGCACTATGAAGCTTTCAGCAGCTACTGTGACTGAGTTTGATCCCCAGCCAGGGAACTGACCACATGGTGCAAGAGACCTCTTTTGTCTCCCCTGAACTCCCCTCTGCAGTGTGTTTCAGTCAGTTCAGCTGTTCTGTTCCCCATTCTGTCTCTGGGGAATCCTCTCAATTCCTACACCTCTGATCTATACCCCAGCTCTTGTATGCATAAATAAATAAAATAAATCATTAAAAAAAAACAGTATAAGATACTCAAGCTTGAGTGCATGGGCTTGTAGACAGAATCCTGAAAATCTTGATGTCCCTTAGCATATTCAGATGACACCTTGATTAGGTCAGTGATATTGCTGGGGAATGTGGGAAAATAAAAAGGTTGAAATTCATTGCTTGCTGTGGAGGAATGTATTATGGAAAAGCAACAGAGAATTTTTCAGTATAAACTCTAAAGTAACCAGGTAGAAAAACATTATCAGTAGAAGGTATTGGAGTAATAAATGAAACCCAGTTTTCCGGTTTCAGTGACTGGGTGGATCCTGATACCTTAAATCCAGGTAAGGAGTGCAAGAGGGTTTGACTACTTAGACATACCTTATCTGCCCTGACTGACCCTGACTGACCAGCCATTCTGGTGTTATTATCACCAGCTCTCTAAATTGGCTTTTATTAGTCAGGACTCTTGCGAGAAGCAAAGATAATTTGGAGTCTGTTACTGGACTAAATTAGAGGGAGAACTATGCAGCCACTTTTCTGGCTCTTTGTTTCCCTTAATTTTCTTGCTCATTGAATTGCTCATTTTTTAACAACACATGCAAGTTTCAAGAGTTTAACTTCATACTCAGTAAAGGTATATATCACACTACATCCATAACCAAAATTCTAGTATTATTTAGCACTACCAAGATGATCCCCCTACCAGTCCATCCATCCCCTTAACTCTATTTTTCTTTTTAAAGATTTATTTGTGCATACAGAACTGGGGTACAGGCCAGAGGCTCAGGGGCGGTGAGAAGCTTCACCAGAGACGGAATTTTTCTTTTTAAAGATTTATTTGTGCATACAGAACTGGGGTACAGGCCAGAGGCTCAGGGGCGGTGAGAAGCTTCACCAGCAACTCTATTTTTCTAATTGAGCTTTCTGTTCTTGTGTATCTTGCCCTTCAAATGTATAATTGCCAAACTTAACTAGAAAAGGAAAAATAGGGCCCTCCCTGGTGGTGCAACCAGTTAAAGGGAGGCACTGTGAAGCTATCCACAGCCACTGCAGCATGAGTACAGTCCGTGGCCAGGGGGGTGACCCACATGGTACAGCAGACCTCTGCTGAACTACCTGCAGCAGTGTATTTCAGTACATCTGCCTGTTCTGCTCCCCACTCTGCCTCTGGTGAATCTTCTCACCCTCCCACTGTACCCCAGCTCTTGTATGCATAAATAAATAAATTTTTTAAAAAAATATCCAACGAATGAATAAATCTATGACCTAGCTCTATCTAGTTCAAATGTTTTTTTTCTTTTCTTAAAATTAAGGTAACAATGATTCATACCAGTGTATAAATTTCAGGTGTACTGCTTCACACCTTGACATGTACACATATATATATATACACCATATTGCAACCACCAACAAAGGTCAGATTTCCACCATGATTAAATCAACATCCTCCTTCCACTGGCTCCACTACTCCCCCCAACTCCTTTACCCTTACTCATAGCCATTCTGTTGTCAGACTCTAAGTGCTTTGTTTCATTTGTTCGTTTGCTTTCTGATTGTTTTTAAGATTTATTTATTTATGCATACAAGAACGGGGGTACAGGTCAGAGGTACAGGGTGTGACCTCTCACCCCAAAGACAGAGTGGGGAGCAGAACGAGCAGATCTACTGAAATACATTGCTGAGTAAGACAATGGGCAAGACAGGAGAGGTCTGCCATGCCATGTCGGTCAACTCCCTGGCCAGGGGTTTAACTCATGCTGCAGTGGCTGCGCATCACTTCATTGTGCCATGCTTTAACCTGCTTTGTACCAACAGGGAGGGACCTGCTTCGATTCTTCATCTTCCAGTGTATGAGTGAATTCATGAGGGATTTATTTTTCTGTCTGACTGATTTCACTTAACATAATCCCCTCATATTCCATCCATGTTTCAGGAAATGGCAAGATAATGCTTTTGTTTTGTTTATATAGCTGAATAATATCCCATTATGTATATATACCATATCTTCTTTATCGCCTCATGTCTCAATAAGCACTAAAGTTGTTTCCATATCTTGTCTATTGAAAATAGGATGGCAAAGGACATAAGGGTTCATGGTTGTTTTTCTCTGATGACTCTTTTGCTCAAAACATACCTATTCATTATTGCGAACACATCAAGTACCTTGCTATCTCTGTGATTTTACTCATACAATTTCTCCAGATATACCTTCCTCTCCTCTTATAACCTGCATTTTCCTTTAGGCCAACTCTAAATCCTACCTTCAATGTGTGTGTTCCCCAATTATCAAAAGTTCAGTAATCTACTCTCTTATTTATGAACTTTATGGTCTGTATTGATTTATCATACAACATTGAAGTTTATGTCTTATTTCCCCAACTAAAGTTTAAACCCCATGAATTAAGGAATCCTGGTTTTATTTCTAATAGCTAGTTGTTTTTTTTTTTACTGAGTAACATTGTTTTATAGCACTGTGTATATTTTAGTACAGCTTCACACTTCTTCACACTTCTTGCTATATACTACCCACCAGCAAAATGTCAAATGTCAAAATGTCATAGCTTTCCACTACAGTTCACTTGATCCCATCTACTTTTTACTCCCCTTCTAATCCTAGAAGCTCTCAATAAATAGCTATTAGTTTCTAATGACAGATTTTCAGTATTGATGGAGTATATAATAAAATATCTCATATGCTTGTTAAGTCTCAGTTATTTAATAAATGAGTACTTAAAATTTGAGAGTAATGTTCTAATCAAATTTATATCTACACACACATTTGTACATTTATATAACACACACATTTGTATATTTATATATGTTTGTCAGAATATATAGAGCCACAATTACATCAACTTGTCATGCTATGTTGATGCACTGTGGTTCACTTTTCAAAGGCAAATATCAATAGTGCATTCCAGGACACCTGCATTCACATGGTCAGCTCTTTGAAACTATATTTGGATGTACAAGCTATTAAAAGCATCTTGTACTGAGTGACCTTTCCAGGAGACTTCAGATTGAGTTCTCATCCTGCTGCTGCCTATTGTGGAGTAGAAGACAACAGAAGACCCTGGACTCAAACCTCTCCCGGGTTTTTGTTTTGCTTGTTCGGTTTCCTTTCATTTTGTCTTAAGAAGATGAACAATGAAACCACAACCCTTATATCCTTAAAGGAGGCAATGAAAAGGTTCTAAGGGTTACAGGGAGGGAACAAGTATGGGTCTGCTTTTCTGGGAAGATGGGTTAGAGTAGAATAAAAATAAAAATGGGCAAAGTACTACAGGCATGCAAATTAGAATTGTGTCTTTGTTGAAGTGGTTTAAGTCTTCCAAGTTCAAGAAATAGATACATATATAATAAAGAAAAACCTATTCCCAAGTGCTAGAATTCTACTCAAAGCATATGCTAAATGATAAGTATTCAATAATAAGTAAAATGTGGTTGCTGCCCTTAAGGATATCATCACCTGTAAAGATAACAGAAATATAATACTTCTAAATTAATGTGATTAACTTTGTAATTGTGATTTCCTAAAGGACTAAGAAAATATAAAGCCTTGATTAATTTTGCCTTCAATACTAGGAAAGGAACACTTCATAGAGGGATATTTACACTGGATCTTGTAAGTGTTTGAGTAGGTGTTCATATGAAGGAAAAAATATGGGAAGGAATTCCAGGTTGAGGAAAGCACACAATAGCCGTGGAAGCTTGAAACCACACATTATGTTCAGCCAAAGGCTGGGTATCTGACGGAATTAGTGACTAGGGTAAGTGGGAGGACTGGCAGAAGTATGGGGTAAAGAGTAAGTAAAGGCCTTTATGTTTTCTTCTGAGGAAGTCTAACTTCAGTCTAACAATATCACTGGGCAAGTTAGGGCAGCATAAAATGTATATAATCAGTTAAATTACCCAATCAGAATCACGTTTTAGAAGAATGTGTCTAGAGGGTAGAGTAAGGTAGCAGAAACTGAAAGCAGGGATCCAATTAGGCAAGTATAACGCTCAGTTCAGGTAAAACATGGTGATTATCTGGTTTAGTGGAGATGGAGAGAAAGGTATAGGTTAGATATGTATGAATGGAAAGGGAGGAAAAAACGTGAGAATTATTCTGAGATTTCTGGTCTAAGACAATGATGTGATAAACTGAGCTGAAACAGAAGACTCAGAAACAGGAGACTCAGATTTGCAGATTTACTCTTAATGATGACAGATTTACTCTTAATGATGACAGAATTCCAAAGAATCACTACAATAGTAAATAAACTTTTATATTCATTGACAAGCAAAAGTTCCTCTCAAGAATTTGCTCTAATATATAGTCTTAAAGGTCTAAAAGTTAATACAAACAATGATAGCTAACATTGGTTTGACACAGAGATTGGTGGTATATTAGGTGATGTGGGCCTACACTCCTATAAAACACACATTATACACCGAGTCTTATCTGTGTGTAAATAGAATCCAAAGCACAAAGCAAATTCCACCAAAATGAGAAGAGAAAGAGGGGAAAGGAGGAGTGCAAGGGGGACAGTAAGAGAGAGATGATACCAGAAGTTGAGTTAACCGTGGGAGAAGTTGAGGAACAAGAAGAGAAGATGGTCAAAGGCAGAACCCTGAGCAACCTACTGTACTCAGGTCACTGGACGTAGAATCTCAGCGAAGTGACATGTATATCTGTATATCCTTTATTCATTAAAAACTATGTGGATGACTTCATGCAAGTGAGTTGTGTTGCTACAGTTCTCTGTGGTTCATTTAGAGGTGATTCTTGTGCCATAGCGCCCCCTGATGATTAAGGTGGTTCAGAGCTATTCAAACACCCCTGTTGGATTACATAGCTCAGCATCTCATTAACATCACAGATGTCAATCATCTCTGCTAGGAAACTGGAGATGAGTATAAAGAGGTCTGAGAAATAGTATCTGTACCCTCCCTCTAAGAGCTTACCATATATGAAAAACTAGTTCTTAAAAATAACGTAGGACATAGGGAATGACATGTGGACATTTAGGAAGATTGAGGCAGGATGGAATTTTGGCTGACCCTTTAAGGAAAGGTAGGATATGAACAGTCAAAATAGAGTAGGGAGCCACCTTATTAAAAACTGGTCCCACCGTTAGCTAACTCTATGACTTTTGCTCATAATCTCTTTGAAACTCAATTTATTTATCTATAAAATAAAAAAAAAAGACTGCTTCACTTCTATGGTTGTTGTGAGAATCAAAGTAATGCTTGTAAAAATACTTTTTGAAGGCAAAGTACAATACAAAAATAAGACTTGACAGATAATTCAAGCAGTTATTAGGTAATTCAAAAGTTTCTAATATAGGAATGCAAGAACTAGAATGAAGACTAGACAATAGCAAATTGGCACATCTGTTCATAACCTTAAATCTGAATAAATCTGAATAGGTACTAAGATTTGCTAGTGTTTACCAACAATATATCAGAGCTTTGTCTTAATGCAAAATCTTAGTTTTATTATCTGACCTAAACAAACCTTTGATTCTTTTACTCTGTAGAGTAGACTACAAACTTCAAGCTCTGGAAGCACGGTTCAAAGAACTAGACCTTATCAAGGATGACCTGACACAAAAATTTGAACATTATAGCAAGACTCTGGCAAGCCAGTCAGCCCAAGATGAGCTGTGGACAGCTGTTCTGGCACTCAAGTAAGTATCCAACGAGAAAACATGTGATATTTTGTGACTTTGTGAGAGACTGCAGTGATCATCCTAAAGTAAAATTCCTTAATATAGTTCCAACAAAGGTTGTAAAAAATTTAAGGCTCTTTAAATTGATTCATTCAAAAAGAGATTAATTTGAGTACCTGCTTATATGCCAAAGACAGTTGTATACATCTCACCACAGACTCTGGCTTGCCAAAGTCTTACTAACACAGAAAATGGATAATATAACTCCTCTACTACTGAGAAATTTAGAGTATAAGTAGCCTTTAAAATTAAGCTACCTAGTTTAGTACAGGCCCTATTTCTGAAGCAAGTCTTTTCTAAAATACCATCACTGATTTTGTTGGTGTGTTTGTACCTTTATGAGTTATTATCCTAAAGGAATTCTTGTATGTTTGTCCTTATGATTTCTACTGCTAAAGAAGCCATTACATTTTTTGTAGGTTTACATCAATGGAACTGAATATTTTATACAGCTATGTCATCGAAGTACTTATCTGTCTGCACACACGTGTTCTTGAGAAGCTGCCAGATCTGGTGAAAGGTCTTCCCACCTTAGCATCAGTCCTTAGACGAAAAGTCAAAAACAAACGCATCAGAGTTGTGTGGGAGTCTGTCCTAGAGGATTATGGGCTACAAGAAGGAGATATCACAGTGCTTTGTACCTTCTTTATTGCACATGGTAACAAGGCAGAACATTATACTGCTAAGGCGAGGGAGATGTACATCAAGGATGTCACTTTCATCATCACTAATATGGTAAAGAACCAGGCTTTGCAACATGGTTTGCTGAGGGCTGTTCAGGTCATTGAGAAGGGAAAAGCAGTGAAATCTCCTGAAGAGCAAAAAACATCCCTAGCAGAGTTGATACCATCAGTAAAGAACTACCCTATGAACTAAAGATTCCCTTTCTAGTCATTTATCATGCAAAGGGAAAAATAAATATGTATAATTTGTTAAAGCCTTATTTTTATAGCAAAAGTAAGGGGAGTGCTAAAGAATCATAATAAATAGATATAATGGATACTTTCTATGTGGCCATATAAAGAATGAAGAGTTTTTTTCCTGTAATTGTATAATGATACGGAGTTACCACCAAGATGTGTTGTGGCTTTAAAGTATTATTTCCAATATATATTGTTAGGTGGAGAAAAGGGCAAACAAATACACACATACCCAGAAGTGCTAATATATCCATTAACAACTTCTAAAGGAAAGTGGTTGTCTTAGGGAAATGGATCAAAGAAGCAAATCTTTCATTCTTAATCTATTTTGTACATTTTGAATTTTGAACTTGGAATCTGTTTTGAGTCAGATTGCACTGTGTCTCCAATTGCCACACTGAGAAAGCTAGACAAAGTTAAACAACTTAACTCAGAGTTTGGTGACTACAAAAAACAAAAAACAATTAATAGACCATTTTCTAATCTAGATCTTGATTGACAAAAAAAAAAAAACACACAGAAAACTTCTGTCTGGAGCAGATTTATGCCTGCTAATCATGGACAAATAGACTTAACAACCAATTATCAGGGTAAAGGAAAATAATCCCATACCATTATTGATTCTTCTAAGCTGACAAATAATCATCAAACAAGCATCAGGCATTTTGATAAGAAAAAGAGCCAAAAGGAAGTTTAATAATACTATGTATCCCTCCTGTATACATGGGAGAGACCGAGCATGACTGAATAACTCACACAGGTGGCTTGGACACTCTTAAATAACCTCAGTTACAAGAGTATCACAAGGGTAATAGGGAAGAGGTCAGTTTGGGAAGCCCAGTAAGAAAGGGATGACTGTTAAGCAAGTTTAAACTGTGCCTTCTCCACTGAAAAGAGTAAAGACTATCTTCCATGTAAGGTGAAGAAAGGAGCTGCCTTAGGAGATAGATTTCCCTTTCAGTATTTAAATGTATTTTACAAAAGGCAGCCTTCATCTTGTTGTAAAAGATGAAATAAGTAGAAAGATGAAATAAGTAGAAATATGAAGTATGAAGTAAGTAGAAATGTGCTAGAGCAGCTGAAGAAAATGGAAGGTTTTTTTTTTTTTTAATCAGAAAGAGCGTGGGACAGGTTATTAGCAAAAGAGATTATTTCAGGCAACTTCCCTTGCCCTAATGCTGAAAGCCAAGGGAGGGAGGAGCAGTAAATTACAGTTAACTGGTTTAAAATTCCACTTTTGGTTTAGGCTCTGAAATTGCAATAAGGTTAGGTTTATTAGGTCTTGGGGAAACTTGGCATAACTGTTTCAATGTTGGCCCTTTTTTTTTTTTAAACAATAACAAACTGGAAAAACTCATTACAAAACACAAGAAAGCTTAAACTATTTACTCTTTTCCTCCTTTGTAACTTTGATTGCTCTGGTTGAAATTTAGTAATACAGTAGGGCATTATAAACGATGCCCTGAAGACTACGCTCCAGCCAGGATAGAGATAGGTCTGCAATTCGTTTTCCAAGCAATCCTAAAATCTACCTCTAGGTGGCAGTTTGGGGCGGTGGACTACCGAAGGGCACATCAGTGCTTACCGGACTGTATCAAGTATGCGGATTCTCTACCATTGCCTTTCTGGGGAGATCAACATGGAAGACGCTTTTCAAAGAACTCTGGGTAGAAATTTCAGTGACAAATTAATAAAAACAAAGCACAATATTGAAAATAAGAGTCCCTATTTGTTTTGAGGTTCCTCTTTTTTTTTTTTTTTTTCTCAGAAATGGTGCTCACAACACTCCCGGGTTGCCAGAGCCTCCGGTATCAGACAAAGGGCAAAGTGGCAGACTCAATCCAGCAATGACAGGACAATCTACCGCCCCGAGAACAGCGCGGCGGAGGCAGGACGGCGGGTCGGGGCCGGAAGTGCGCGCAGTGGCCGGAAGTTCCTCCCGCCGAACGTCTGACGTACCTGCCTTAGAGCGGGGTGGGTGGGGCCATTTTGGCGGGCACTTGTGACGCCACTAACCTTTCGGATGGGCAGAGACTAGGTTTTAGAGCAGACTGATGCGAGGTGCAGAGCGGTCTCCGAGCAGAGAGAAAAGGCGCTGGCGCCCCAAAGCTGGAACGCTGGGGTTCGCGCGCTGCCGCCAAACGGAAAACGGAAGTCCTGACCGGCGGAGTCCTGCGTCCTGGCGGAAGCAGCGTTCTTCCCGGAGCTGTGGCCCCCAGACCTCGCACCCCGGCAGCCTTGGTTGGATGCCGGGAGCTAAGGGAGCATCCACATCTGGTAAGAGGGTGGAGGGGAGCTGGGCACAAGCCTCTCGTCGCACCAGAAGGTTGGAATTCACCGTCCACTCTGCTGTAGCTCTGTGTTGATGCTTCGGAGCAGCCATGGTCTCTCGGACGGAAACTTTGATTTGTTGTCTTTCCCAACGTGTGTCCTTAAACTTGGACAAATACCCCATTTTACAGGGTAGTACTGTTTACTTGGCCCGCAGGGCGCCTTTTTTGCTTCACGACATGCGTGATGCGCCGAATCTTTGCATGCTAATACACCAGTGGGCATATATTTAAACACAAAATTGTGTGTTTTCTCCGTTTTTGGCCAAAACCACCATTTTTTTCTCTTTCAGGTGTTGATGTTGAAACATGCCTTGTTAGCATATTAAAATGGCAGTACCCAAAGACGCCATCCCTTCCTTATCGGAATGTCAGTGCCAGATTTGCGTGGATATCTTAATTGAGCCCATAACCCTCCCTTGTAACCACACACTCTGTAATCCATGCTTCCAATCAACTGTAGAAAAGGCCAGTTTATGCTGCCCTTTCTGTCGCCGCCGGGTCTCTTCGTGGACCCGATATCATACCCGAAGAAATTCTCTTGTCAATAAAGAACTGTGGGAGATAATTCAAAAACACTATCCAAAGGAATGCAAGCTGAGAGCCTCTGGACAGGAATCTGGGGAAATCGGTGAGTAAAACCATTGTATTTATTGGTTGAAAAATAAAGGTTCTTTAAAAAGTGAAATGCACGGGACTATGGTGGTGGCACACGGGTGACTTGGTGATGGGAAACCCGCGGGGATTACAATCGAGATGGAAAAAAAAATGTGCAAAATGATGTAAAAGTAAACTTTTGTAATAATTTAAAAAAAAAAGTGACCCAACACATTCATTGTTTAAAAAGAATTAGGAAAATGGATCCTCTCTGGTGGTGCAACGGGTTAGGGCGCAGCACTGCAAGCTAGCCACAGGCGCTTCAGTGTGAGTTTGATCCCAGCCCCAGAGCTGACCCACAAGAGCTGACCTCTCCTGTCTCTCCCGCTGCTCCCGTCAGCAGTGTACTTCGTAGATCTGCCTGTTCTGCTCCCCACTCTGTCTCTGGTGAATGCTCTCTATGCTCCTGCACCTCTAGCCTGTTCCCCAGTTCTGTATGCATGCATAAATAAATAAATAGATAGATAAATAAAAAGATAGGTAGAAGGAAAAAAAAAACACAACAAGCAGCCCAGGCTAGTATTTGTGTAAATTAATCATGGAGCTTGACTTTTATAGGCTCCAAAATGTCGTTTGAAGTCCATGACAGGATTTATTGTTATAATACCAGGCAGTGTTCAGTTGGTGTTTTGTCGGGTTAAAAATTTGTGGAAGGGGAGGAAGAGAATCGGGCCCACAAGAATAACTGGTGTAGAACCTTCAGTTATATAAAAAGTCTATAAATATTCACAGATGAGCACTAATGTCTATGCAGCAACAGCAGAAATAAGGAAGGTGCTTATTCTTGTGTTACTATATCTTTTACTTTCAATTCATGTCTCTTCCACTTACACTTAATTTATTTAATTATTCTCAAGCTGCAGTGAGCCTAAAATAGCTTCTACTACCAGTTCTTTCTATTTCAGTTGTTTTTATTCAAAACCTCCCATAGTGTGCACTTAAGAGCTATTTAGTATGCCCCAAACCTGTTACTTGACTCTTAACAGCTTTAATCACTCCTCTGGTCATAACCTCTTGCAGGTTCTTGTTCAGGCTTTTAATATGGTGAGGCTGTGCTCTAGTGTAATTGCTCTATTTTGCATTTTTTTATTTTGGCAAATATTTATAATGGAGTTTGCCATTTTAATCGCAACTTTTAGCAGAGGTTTTATTAAAACTTCTCCATTGAGATATGAGAATACAGTTGACCATTAGCAGTGTTCCCAATGCCATTAACTGTGTTCACAGTGTTGTGTAATCACCATTTTTTACAAAACTTTTCATTACCTTAGACAAATTCTTTAGCTGTTAAGCAACATGACCCTTCCCCCCTTTCTAATCTATTTTAAGTAGATTCAAGCAATCTTTTAGCTATTTCATGTATTCACATGATATATGACCTATTGGATCTGACCTCTTAGGATAATACTTTAAATGTTCAGGTACATTGTAAAATTTATAAGCACTTCATTCCTTTTTATAAGCTGAATAACATGCTATTTTATGGATTTTATCTCTTCATTCATTGATAGACATTTGGGTTGTTTACATCTTTTGCTATTTGAATATTTCAGGTATTTGCTTCACTACAGTTTTAGTTCTAGGTGTAGAATTACTGGATCATAGGGTAATTCTGTTTAGCTTCTTTTGGAACTGCCAAACTTTAACACAGGACTGCATCATACCTCACTTACCAGAAATCTTTAATGGTTGCAGTTTCTCTTCACCCTCACTAACATTTGTTATCTTTTTTATCTTTTTTTTTTTTTTTTTACTTTTGTAGAAGGTATGAAGGGTATCTTAGTGATTGTGTATGGTGGGGAGGGGGGGTTGGAGCAGAACAGGCAAATTGACTGAAATACACCACTGAAGGAACAGCAGGCAAGACTGGAGAGGACTGCGGCACCATGTGGATTATCTCTGTGACAGGATCAAATTCATGGTGCAGTGGCTGCTGATAGCTTCATAGTGCTAAGACTTAGCCCCATGTACCACCAAGGAGGCCCAGATTTAACCTTTCTTTTTTTTTTTTTAAGGGTATGGTTCAGTGACATTAGCTACAGTCACTTGGTATGCAGCTATCACCACCATTCACCTCCAGAATGTTTTCTTTTTCCCAAACTGAAACCTGATACCCATTAAATAACTCACCAATCCCTTCTCCCTCCAATTCTTAAAAACCATTCTGTTCCCTGTGTCTATGAACTTGACTACTTTAGATACTTCATATAAATATTATCTTTGTGTGGCTTATTTCATTTAGCCTAATGTCTTTAAGATTCCTTCATGTCACAGGACCTGTCAGAACTGGTTCCTTTTTATGACTGAATAATATCCCAATAATATCCCAAATGGAAGTAACCCCAAAGTGTTCATCAACAGAAGAGTGGATAAACAAATATGTATTTACCACATTTGTTTATCCACTCTTCTGTTGATGAACACTTTGGGGTTACTTCCATTTTTTTTTTGTAAATACTCCTATGAATATTGATATACATAGCTTGAACATCTGTTTTCAATTCTTTTTTTTTAACTCCTTAACATTACAGAGCTAAATGTATTGATAGGACACTTTTATATTTCCATGACAAACCAAAAAAGAAAACAACCTCAGGAAAAAGCTTGTAAAACAGCTGAACAAGAAAGAATTAAAATGCTTTAATCACAGTATAAACAGATGATAAAATGTACAAAAACTGAAAATTTACAAACCTGCAATTGCTGACTGTTTGAAACTATACAGATGGATCTTGATTGGTGAACAGCAGAAAGGGTTTATGGATAATCTGTATTGTCCTAGCTGCTCCCATACCACCCATCTTCAAGGAGAACCTGACATTGGTTAGAGATTGAGCCAGGCTAATGCTGACCACAGATCCAGTGAAGTAACCTGCCTAAATGTAGGCCCTTGTATTGGGTTGCTAATTTTCATCTGTGCCCCAGACATCTGACAGATCTTATTGATTTTGGCACCTTAACACTCGATAATTCAGGCAGTCAAATCATGTGGAATGGTGAGTAGTCTGAGATGCATCTGTACCTGCACTGCATTTGGTGTTAACCGTGTATAGCATGGAAAAAATGAGACTTACCAACTGATCCAGCATGGTCAAGTCTGCCAACTGTCTTTTACTGGTATAGGGTTCTAGAGGTATGGCTCTCCAAGTAGGAAAATAATCACAGTACTAGTATCCATAAACAGTATTCGTAGCCAAACAATGCCCAATATGTTGCCTATAATACTGTTTTCTTTCTAAATTTGAAACAGTTGATGACTATCATCCAGTTCATCTGTTAAGTAAACCGGGGGAATTAAGAAGAGAATATGAAGAAGAGATAAGCAAGGTAGATACTAAGCAATTAATTTCTTTTCTGTTAAACCTCTCTGTGATTTCAGTTTCTGACTTTATATACCATGCTTATATAAACAGTATATATTGCAATATAAATATTCTTAATGTACTTATCAAAAGTCCCCTCTATTATTTACATGTATTCAAAATAGTTCACAAACTAGCTTCACTTTATACTTGATGTTATGTGGTACTTGTCCCTAAACATTTAATTATGAAAAAAATTGTTTTTCATTTTCCTGAAAACTTTGAACTCAAAGAACGGGGAAGTTTGGTAGATGTCTTAAGGTGTTTAGTTTGTTTGGGCTGTTAAAACAAAAATACTGTATGTTGGGTGACTTAAGCAGATATTATTTCTTATAGTTCTGGAAACTGGGGATTTCAAGATCAGGGTGCTGGCAGGTCTGGTGTGAGTAAAGACCAGTTTCCAGGCTTGTAGACAACTGCTTTAGCTCTGTGTCTTTATCTGGGGAGTTGTGGGGAGAGAGATGAATACACACCATCATTCTTGTGTCTTTTAAAAGTTCTAATTCTTTGAAAGGGTACCAATAGTCTACTTATCCCCTAAAGGCCCCCAAGTCTGAATAACACCACATTAGGAGTTAAACTTCAACATAAGAATTTGGAGGGATACAATGAGTTTACATGAGGAGAGGATGGGAAGTAAAGTACTTAATTCATTGTAAAGTACTTCAATAGTGAAAGAAGAGTAGTGCCTACAGGTGACGCCCTGGTACCTGCACCCCCTATTTCCTGGTTAGTATGTAGAGCAGAGTATCCAATAGAATAATGTGTCAGCCCGTGTATCATTAAAATGTGTCTAGTAGCCACATTTTTAAAAAGATTTTTTTAAAAACTGGTGAAATTAATTTTAATGTTATATTTTGTTTAGTCCAACATATTTAAAATATTATGAAATGAATATAAAGTGTTATGTAAGGGTAGAATATTACATTGGCTATATACTTTATCACATTGTATAATCAGGCCTTAATAATAAAGTAGTAGATAAATGTTAATCATGAAAATTTTTATCCTTTTTTTATTTAATTTCAAAATATTTTCTGTATTTGGACTTTGTACATTTCATATACTCAGTAGCCACATACAGCTAGTGAATGCTCTTGAATCATGCAGGGCTAGAAAAAATAATAAGTTGTCTAATGTCTGTAAGGTTTTTAAATGAGTGATTTAATCTCATAACCATGTAGTGAGAGTAGCTTCTATCAGGATGTTTTTGACTACAGTTTTAAAACAAAATAAAACCTTAAATTATCCTAAACATAAGAAAATGGTTAATTTTGTTATGACAACTCAAACTAAGAATTCCAGAAATAGGGGCTTCAGCCAGCCTGTCAGCTGACTTTATCCTCAGTCTAATAGCAAGATGAATACAAACCTTAGATGTATTGCAGCATGCGAAGGAAGAAACTCCAGTCTCCTCCAGTGACTTTTCTCTTAACAAAAGTCCTTCAACATTTCCCTTATTTCTCCATTCATATTGTACCAAGGACTTACTCTGGAGTTAATGGATATCTATAGTGGCTTCCTGTAGTATTTCTTTCAGAATATGTAGTTTAAATGACCACAAGCATGATGGACAATCAGAGTTTAGGTCTCCAGTTGGCCATTTGCTGTTCTAAGAAAATAAATTTGCTTTTTTGTTACCTCATGTGTAAATCCTACAGTGACCCTTCCACTCCTGTCTACTCTGGGGATTGAGTCATCACAACTTAAGGATAGGCTATGATTAATCTAAGTCCATTTCAATTTTTCCATCCCCTTTGCTAAGGTTCAGTTCAAGAATTTAGGCTTAAAGTAGTCACCTGAGGCCAGAACGGGTAGGGACTTAATTGAGTTTTCACTAGACTGACTAAGGAAGGTGTCCTGAAAGATTTCTTGAACTCTTTCACAGAACTTTGCCTCTTTACATTTGTACTTCATCTGGGCTTTACAGTTTTTAACATTTTGTTCTGTTTTTTATTTTTACTACTCTTACTATGAAGTATACTAAGAAATTCAGAGGATCATTTTTAACCATTTTTAAGGTGGAGGCAGAGCGAAGAGCCAATGAAGAAGAAGAAAACAAAGCCAGTGAAGAATATATACAGAGATTATTAGCAGAGGAGGAAGAAGAGGAGAAAAGACAGGCAGAACAAAGGCGAAGAGAGATGGAAGAACAACTGAAAAGTGATGAAGAACTGGCAAGAAAGCTAAGCATTAATATTGTAAGTTTTAGGAGAGAACTTTGATATTGCTTTGACTTTCTAGTTTCAGTAATGTGAAGAAGTCACCATAACTAGAAGTTATTTCTGACATATTTACTAATCTTCAAACAAAATTTTTTTGTTTTTAAATCTTTTGTATATTGTTACATACATTTACTTCAATTCCAGTATCTTTTTTCAAAAAATCTTTTTTTATATGTATTTAGTAAATTCAATTTATGTGCAGAAGCTGTTCAGAGAAAAATAAAAGCTTTCAGTTCTCCTTTCCCTCTCCTTCCCATCTATCTCTGTTACACCAGTCTCTTTCCCCAGAGGTTACCACTGTTGGTAATTTTTAATAATGTTTTTTCCTTATGCCTTTGAAAAAGGTACATTGGTCACATATTTTTTTCCAGCTTTTTTTCACTTGCTGTAATGTAAGATACATTTTTTTGTATTGCTACATATAGTCTTGCTGTAATTAAGAGCAAAGGCTATAGTAGGATCCAGTGATTTGAAAGAACCTGACAGACTCAATGGGGGCACTTTTAATGCAGATTGTAAAGTCTATTGAAAATAGATTTATCTAAATAAATATAGCGAATCAGAATCTCTGGGTTTAGGACTTAGGGAATGCTATGCCCACAGGCATCTAGGGAAATCTAATCTCTGTTCATTTTCACAGCTTCTGAAACCAGTTTCTCTGCTTTCAGACAATATTAAAATGTATCAAAATGAAAATCCAGAATTGGGATTTTTTTCCCCTCAGTTTTGAGAGGCCTACCATTCATAATATTATACCCAGATGATAGATTGTGTGTGATTTTTCTGTCTTTTTTAAATTTAAGTAAGAATGGTTTGGAAAGGCACACAATCAGAAAATTAAAGACTGGACCAGTAGAATAACAAGTGGGATGAAAAAGAAAATATATCAGAGAAGAATCTGGGGTCATCTTTACCTTCACTACTCTTTCAAGAGCTTACTATTCTAATCCTTCCTATTTTTCACAAGGAATTGTAAGAGTAGATCTATTGATATTTTGGAGTTGTTCTTGTTTTACCTGTAGAAGTTTGATAGTCCAAGCCAAATGTCCCTTGCCGCTAATGATACTAACTTTTATAATAGTGTAGTAATAAATTTGAGGCTATTATAGCAAGTAAATGTTCATGTTTTTTATTGGTATGCTCTTAAATCTCCAGATTATTTTTACATGAAACTAACTTTGATCCCAGATATGTTCACAGTTCTTTGAACATTTCCCTACAGAAGATAGTTATAATTGTCTGAAATTATTCATCAGGAAAATTTACAAAAATTATATAAGTTAATGAGGTTAGTATCATTATGGCCTTTGTGCTTTTCATTGTGAAGTAAAAATGCAATTTAGACCATTTAAATGGAGATTTAATCTTATTCATACTAATTTTTTGTGTGGTCAGTCTTAGAAGAATGTACAGAATTTATTTTTTGTTTTTGAAGATTTATCCATTATGCACAGAAGAACTGGGGTGCAGGCCGGAGATGTGAGGGGTGAAAGTATCCACCAGAGATAGTGGGAAGTAGAACAGTCAGATCCACCAAAACACACTGCTGAGAAGCTCATTGGGCAGGTCAGGAGAGGTCTGCCACATTTTGTGGGTCACTTCCTGGGTTGGGGATCGAACCTGTGCTGCAATGGTGATGATGCACCTGTTGTGCCACCCGGGAGGGCCCAGATATACAGAATTTAAATGTGAGCATATTTCATGAAAATTTTATGGATTCTGAAGTAGTTATAATTAGATTGATTATTTTTTTATAAAATTATTTTAATGTCTTTTAATGTCATTGTTATGTTTTTTCTGTTGTTAGAACAATTTCTGTGAGGGAAGTGTCTTGGCTTCTCCCTTGAATTCCAGAAAATGTGATCCCATTACAGCCAAATCACAAAAGAAAAGTAAGAACAAACAAACAAATACTGGAGATATTCAGAAGTAAGTGGAGATGACTATCAAATATTTATTGACCACCTACTTTATATCAGTGTTTCTTGTTTATAAAACCCACTGATTATCAAAATTTTGTTATAAACTTGCAAGAACCCCTATAGACAATCTGAGGTTGATGTTAAATGAAAGTAAGAGAGCTACTTAGTTTATAATTCTTGGCCAACACAGAGAAAGATGTGAAGTCTGTCTTGGTCACTCAGGATTTCCATGCAATTCCCATTTCCTCAGTACTAGCCAGTTGGAGACCTCTTTCTCAAGATGTAGACTGAAGTGAGAAAAGCTGGTCATTTCTCATCCTATAAGAATTTATAGTTTGGCATCTGGGTCATTCCTTTACCCTCTTTTCCCCAATCTATGCATTTCTTCTCTGTCATTCAGAAAGCATGAGTCATGTAGTCTTCAGTAAAGTGATTTGGTTTCTTCATGATGCCCTCTCTAGCAGCAGCAGGTAGAGTTGATAGATTTCCCATGGTACCTCACAGTTGGAAAAGTTTAAGAACGCAATCTAGACTTCAAAAGCATGCAGATGTTTTTGGTTCAACTGAGTAAATGTGTGCAGGTTATTTGCCTCCTTCCAAAATTTTAGAAATCTTGAATTCTGGGAGCAGGGGATAGACTGCTCTACACACATTTGGGGGTAGACTTAAATGAAGTGATTGCTATTAAAAGAAAAGGTAGATGTGGCAGTGTCAATAGTGTTAAAACCGATACTATGAAAGTAGAAATCATTAAAAAGGGAAGATTATTGATCTAGTCTGTTTAAAGCATATGATTCAGAATTACTGTATCATTATTTATTTCTAAAGATTCATTTATTTATGCATACAGAAGAACTAGGGTACAGGCCAGAGGTGCAGGGGCAATGAGATTCACCAGGTAAGACAGGAGAGGTCTGCTGCGCCATGTGGGTCACCTCCCTGGCCAGGATTGAACTTGTGCTGAGGTGGCTGCTACTAGCTTCATAGTGGTGCGCCTTAACCCATTGTACCACCAGGAGGGCCCAGAATTAATGTATATTTAAGTATATATAGTGAAATGCATAGCTACAGATGAGGAAATGCATTATATTCTTTTTGATAAGTTAACAGAACAGCAAACTAGATCACCTTTGTCTTAAATCTGGCTTTATCACATTGGGTATATACCATTTATCTTTCAAAGCATTCTAATTTTGCTTAAAAATAATTTTTTTAAAGGTATTTGTCACCTAAATCTCAAATTGGGTCAGCATCACAGCCTGAAATTATACAAGACGTCAACAAAAGCTCCATGTCTAAGGTATGTTGATGCTAAGATGTTCTCAGTTTGCACTTTTAATAATGCTATTGGTTGCTAATACTTACAATTTCCTAACATTTTTTTCCTTAAGATTATTTATTTATTCATACAGAACTGGGGTACAGGTCAGAGATGCGGAGGGTGAGAGGCTTCACCAGAGACAGAGTGGGGAGCATAACAGGCAGATCGTGGAAGTACACTGCTGAGGGGAGCAGCGGGCGGGTCAGGAGAGGTCTGCCGCACCATGTGGTCACCTCTGGGGCAGGCGGAATTCGAACTCATGCAGAAGTGGCTTAAGTTTCTTAGTGCTGTGCTTTAGCCCGCTGCGCCACCTAATTTTTTTTTAAGTCAGTATAGCAATGGAACATTCATTCTATACTAGAAATTATCTTAACTTTTTCTCTCAAGGACTAGATAGTAAATATTATAGGCTTTGCATTCTCTGTGGTCTTTGTCATAACCTTTCGATTATACGTTTGTTCTGTGTGAAAGCATTGCTTAACGAAATGTAAGAGTGAATTTCTCTTTGTTCTGGTAAACTCTCTGGACCACAGGCTGTATATGGTCCATAAACTGTAGTTTGTGGACTCCTGATCTTGAGTTGATAATCAACTCAAAAAACTGAATAAGCAAATCCTGGTACTAGCTTCCCTTACCATACTGCAGGATGAGAAACCAGGAATGCTTCTCAGGCATCAAGCTTATTTGTTCAGCTGGTATCCTCACTGCAAAGCTCCTGAGACCACAGAGATGAGTATGGTAACCACGCTAACTTTAGAAGCCACATGCACGTTAAGAACTGGTTATTGTAACCAACCATGGGTGTAGCTTCCAGGTAAGGAGCACATCTTGTCAAAAAAAAATTGTCACAGAAGCCCGAAACTTTGATTTCCTGGTCAGTACTTAGAGATTACTCATACTTCCCCTAAAACAGTTGTAGTTCACCAGTAAGGACCATTTTTACCATAAGCTGTGGTAAAACAGGTGTTGCTGTGATCTAGTGACATGGGTGACATTTAACCTTTTCGAGGTTTCCAGCAAAGTGAGACAAAAAAGGTAAAAAGGTAAACTGACAAAAGGGACAGTTTCTTACATAAAAGTTTTATTGACCTTTACTCAAAAGTTTCTGAAAGTTTTTCAGGTAGGTAGTTTTAATAATAGCACCTAATGTTTAGTGGACATTTACTATTTTCCAGACTATGTATTATCTTCTTCATCACAACTACCACCTCTACAAAGTAGGCATCCTTCTTGTGCCCACTTGGCACACACAGCTAAGACACTTCCCCAAATCCCTAAATACATACAGTAGAGGGAGAATGCAAGTCCAGAAAGTCCCCTTCATATTAGAATTAAGGGTTGGTGGGAGAGGCTTGATAACACAGGAATGTTTTTTCTTTCTGGTATTCATGTTCTTAACAAAATTAACAAACCTAGAATTTGACTCATCCAAACCACAATGGTTTGTAAGAAATGCTTTCAGGAATGGTAGCTATAAAGCAAAGTAGGTAAAAGAATAGATTTAGGCCCTCCCTGGTGGCGCAGCGGGTTAAAGCACAGCACTGAGAATCTGAAGCCACTTCCGCATGAGTTCGATTCCCGCCTGCCCCGGAGGTGACCACATGGCCAGCCAGACCTCTCCTGACCCGCCCACTGCTCCCCTCACCAGTGTACTTTGTCCATCTGCCTGTTCTGCTCCCCACTCTGTCTCTGGTGAAGCCTCTCACCGCCCCTGAACCTCTGGCCTGTACCCAAGTTCTGTATGCACAAATAAATAAATCTTTAAAAAAAAAAAAAAAGAATAGATTTAAGGGGCCCTCCCTGGTGGTACAACAGGTTAAAGCGCAGCACTGCAAGCTAGCCACACCGACATCAGTATGAGTTTGATCCCCATCTTGGAGGTAACCCACATGGCACAGCAGACCTCTCCTATCTCATCCACTGCTTCCTCAGCAGTGTACCTCATCAGTCTGCCTGTTCAGCTCCCCACTCTATCTCTGGTGAATCCTCTCACTACCCCTGCACCCCTATATCCCAGTTCTTGTATACATAAATAAATAAATCCTTTACAGTAATAATAACAGTAATTTTTGTGTATGGTACAAAATAGTGGTCTAGTTTCATTCTTCTGCATGTAGTTACCAAGCTTTCCCACTGTATATGCTTGGCTCCTTTGTCATTAATTAGTTGTCCATGTATCTGTGTGGATTAATTTCTGTGCTATCAGTTACTTTCCTATGATCTGTTTTTATTCCAGTGGCATACTGTTTTGTATACTACGGCAGTGTAGTGGAGTTTGAAATTAAGGAACATGATGCCTACATCTTTGTTGCTCTTCCTAAAAATGGCTGCCTCTTTTGTGCCTTTTAGAGATAAAAAAAAAAAAGACAATAAAAATACTAAGAATTAATACTTTATTAGTAGAAATAATAAGTACCTTATAACAATAACTTACCTATGACATCAGTATAAGATACATGTTATGATTTGATGCTTTTCCTTGGTTTACTTGATTTCTGTTTTCTATAGGAAACTGAAAGAAGGGATGTAGATAGCTGTACATGGCAAGACACAGAAATTGTGGAAGATATGCCAACACTTTCTCCACAAATAGGCCTTGAAGTTCAAGAAGAAGATGCAAAGTCTTCAGTAGAGACTTCTATGCCTCAGTTATGTGCTAGTAGTACAGCGTGGAACCATGAAGAAGTCAAAATGACACCAAACAATCATGATAAAGAGTTATGTGTCATAAATCATGAGGAACCTAAAACCAGAGTTCCCTACTCTAAAGAAGCTGTAGTTAAGCCATGTGACAAATCAGAGAGTGGGTGCGATATGTCAGATATGGAACAGACCATTGAAAATAACACGATTGACATGGAAAATGAAGAGTCTCACCTATTGATCAGTAAAGACATTTCCAAAAGAAAAAACCAAGAGTCTTCATTTGAAGCTGTCAGAGACCCAAGTTTTTCTGCAAAAAGGAGGAAAATATTCCCCAAAGTTTCCTCAGACCAAGAAGAAACAGAAATTAGCTTTACCCAAAAACTGATAGATTTGGAACATCTGCTTTTTGAGAGACATAAACAAGAAGAACAGGACAGGTTATTAGCACTACAACTTCAGAAAGAAGTGGATAAAGATCAAATAAAGCCAAATCGGCAAAAAGGCTCCCCAGATGAGTATCAGTTACGTGCCTCAACCTCACCTCCAGAGAAATTGCTAAATGGACAGATGAAGAATTCCAAAGATAGGAACTTAAAAAAACAAACTGATATACAGCACACTAAACTTCGGAGAGGCTCAACAAATGAAAATTGGCAACCTCCTTTCAAGGTCCAGTTGAAACATTCACTTAATGGGAGAAAGATGTCAAATTCTACTAGAGAGAATTGTAATGTACCTAAAAACACCCATTCCCTACAGTCTAGTAAGTCACAGAGAAGTATTTTTCAAATGTTTCAGAGATACACAAAGTAACCTATGAGTGAAGGGAATGTTTTATAATCTAGTAAAGCTGGGTTGTGAAATTATCACAGAACCTTTATAAATATTTCATTAACTCTTCTCTGTAGGTACACTCATTGTCTTTAATTGAAGGGTTATGTGATTACTAAGGAAATAGACAAATGTGTTTCTGCCAACAGTGGTAAGCAAGAGTCCTGACCCTTTTCATTCTTAATAACTGATCTACTGAGTTTGACAATCCTTATGTATATAAAAATGCTGTGGTCAACTCCCAACAAATCTTCAGGTACTATATTCTCTTTTCCCAAAAAAATGCATGTTTGTAGCATTTGCTCACCTTTTTGTCCTGACTGTAATCAAAGCAAGATTACACTATACTTAGTAGTTAAGAAGTTCATGCAGGGTTTAAAATCTGTGTTTTCTTGCTGCTCTCCCCTATATTTGTAGAACACTTGAAATTGCATCACCCCTAACACTAAAATCATCTCATGTTAATTTCTACTTTAAATACTGTAGTATTTAAAACAGGTTAAGATCAATGAATGTCAAAACAGAAAAACCACAGAGTTCTCTGGAAAATTGGAAATTAGTAAAAGAAGGAAACTGGACTCTTGACGCAAAAGGACTTCTCAGGTAGATGATGCTAAGTGGGATGGATTGACAGTTTGGAATCATTGGAACTGAATGGATGACGTGAGACTGTCAGGATGGAGTCAGAAGTATAATTTGATAGAACATTCTCCTTTGGCCTTCCTTTACTAAATGGCACCAGAAATTTTTAAGTTTTACAGCTTTTCACTCCATATTATCTGGGGTCAAAATAAAAAATTAGTTACAAAATTACCAGAAATTTTTGAAAATTTACTGTAAGAAATATATCACAGTATGTTGTAGAACCTGAGACATAACCATGTGTTTATTGATTCTACTTTTGTGCTTATAGACAGAAATGGAAAGTCTGATATTTGCGTTTTGCCCTGTCTTACCCCTAAAAGTTAAGTCAGATAATACCGATTTCACTTTGTGAAATTTAATTTAGAGGCTATTAATATTTTGTTTCACTAGTATGAAAAGTGAGCAGACAAGATTTGACAGCATTTCTACTGATGTCTAGTTATCAGTCCTTTTAATTAAAATTTTTTTAAAATTAAAATTTTTTTCCTCCAGATTTTTTTACTGAAAGTCTGTTAATTTTTACATACTCACTGACATCTACTTCCAAAGTATTGATTAGTAATTATGGGTAGAATTCTGATACTAATTTAAAAATTAGTTTGCCCTTTCTCAAAAAACTTACTTTGTTCTTTAAAAAAGGAAAAAGTGATTTTCCTCTGCATAAGAGTGTGCTCAAATGCAGTATAGACAAAAACTAACCAAATTTGTCTAAAATAGACTAGAAACTTAGTTCTCATCAAAACAATATTTTTCTAAGAGCAAATTCACTTTACATTTTAGGGTGGACATTGTTGAAATGCCTCAAATTAAATTATGTCATTAAATCTTTCTAGAATAGTACATAACCAAACAAAAATAGTGGATTATATTTAGAATTTGTATATTTATACATTTTGTTGTCTGAAGAATTCTCCCTGACTAATGTTGGTTTTAAGATAAATTTAATTTTTCTGTTAGTTTTTGATAGCCCTGCCATCTATGCCTTTTCATTAGAAATTAATGTTTGTGTCCAACATTTGAATACAATGATTTTTGTGGATCATGAGAGTATTTAATTTCTCAGGGAGTACTAGAACTTGTAAGAATATGAAAATTAATTACTAAAATTAAAAGTGGAGTATTATATATGTATGTCTCACCCCAGTAAAAAATATAAGTTACATAAAAGTAAAAATATGTAAATAACAAACTGAACAGGAAGAGCTAATTTCCTTTATATTAAGTATCTGCCAATACATTAAAAAAGAAAGACTAATAGCTCCAGAGGAAAATTTTAAGTTTGTTTCAAGAAACAGTTCCCAGGAAAGGAAATAGAAATGACTCTTGAGTATGTGAAATGATACATTATGTCCCTGTACTAGTGCTCACACATGCTCTCATACATTCTCCACCTTTAGGTTAGTAAAGATAAAGGTGCTTTTGGGTTTTTTTGCCTTGTTTTTTCATTTGGGTATGTATTTTTAATTTTGAAAAAGTGGGAAATTTATGTGTTGCTTGTTATAAATAGAAAATTGGAATCCCTATGAAGGTAAACTTGGCAGTTCTACCTCTAGGAATTTCTTAAAGCTCTCTTCACATATGGAATGTTATGTTCAAAAGCTTTTTGTATAGCAATGTTTGTAATAAGTTTAGAAACAACTTTAATGTCACATCATTTGAGAGTAAATATATGAAGGTAAGATGAAGTACTGTATAGCCCCAAAAATGCTGGTATAAAAAGAACTACTTGAAACAGAGTTAAATAAAAGTATGTAAGCTGTAGAATAGCATATGCAATGTGCAACCACTCAGCCAAAACAGTTAAAATAGGTATATATATGTTTTCATAAAGTATCTAGAAGGAAAAGCAAAAAAAAAAAGTAGGAGACAGGAAGAGAAATGAGGTGACTGGGAAATAAGAATGAGAAATAACTTCATTTTTATACTTTTTGAATCATGGAATACATCATTTGTCAAAAATACATGTTCTTAAAATACTGCAAGGTAAAGCTTATACATCTCAGTTGTACTGCTCTAGATTTTTTTGTTGTTGTTGTGTTAATATTTTAAGAACCATAATTCAGGAAGTTTTCTTAGTGTGAAAAAATAATGTAAATTTTTCAAAATTGGGTTCAGTGTGAGCCTGAATTTATTTAGCTTCAGTGTAGTATTTTTAAATCATTTGTAAAGCCAGAAAAGCTTTCCAGGTAGCATTGCCTTCAGCATACAGTCTTGCTGAGAACAATGGGAAACATAGAATAGTCTGCTTGACAGCACAATGTGGCTTCTGAGACAATAAGGATGGGGCCCTATTCTAGAGAGGGGAGATTGAAGAGAGAGGAACTGATGTTTACAGTCACTTCTTCACTGGTAGTATATGCCTGTTCTCAAAGAAGGCCAAAAACCAGGGCTGCTGCTGGTAAATAAACCAAGAGAGCTGTTGGCCATCTCATGAAACTGCAGTTGTTTTCTAGAAGACAGAAAAAATCTGAAAAACTGGGAGTTGTCATCAGGATGATAGTGCTGATGAGACAAAAGAGTAGAGTCCAGGACCTACCAGGGGAAAGACAGGACTTGATAGCACAAACAGTCTGCAAATGACATCCCGGTTTGACCCCTATTTTAAAAAGGGTCTGTGAAGTAAAACTTATAAAATGACTTAGATTCCTTAGTTTGCATATCTTTATTTTGTCAGGAGTTGCATTTTTGTAATTTGTGCATGAGTTTTAGACCATTAAAACAAGGACATGTAGTACAGAAAGGAAAGGAAAATATTTTTGCCTTCAGGTCTTTACCTGTGTGACCTTAGGTGTGCTACTTTTTTTTTTTTTTTTTATCTCAGATTGATGTAACCAACAAAATTGCTATCAAGAGGTAATGGAAGTAATAGAGAGTATTTGGTAATGCCCTGCTAGTTCCTACCCCCTGGCTATTCACCTCTGCCACCTCTACTTCATCCTGGAGCTTTGTGCTCTCATAAGTCCCCAGAAGTAAGCTCCACTTAATTACAATAATCTATTGATGATTTCACTCACCTCACTGCCAGAGCTATATCCACAGCTCTCTGTGTCATACAGTACCTTAACTCCAAAAGAAATTCCTATAGTAGTTCAACACATTTGATATGCATAAAAGTGTGTAAAACACTAAAAAACATTGAGATGGTAAAAAGACTGGAGTGTTTGCCATTGTATGTTTTCTCTTACATGTAAAGAACCTAATAAACAATCATGACTAAATTTTGACTGGCCTTTTTTTTTTTTTTCCTGAACAATTCGTCTTGTCTTGGTAAGACTTGGAGACTTGGAGTTCAACTGAACTCTTTGCATTTTACTTTATATTTTTCTTCAATTTAGCTTTTGGAGTCCCAGGCTGCTGCTATTAGCCTCTACCCCCCAAACTAGTTCAATTCAAAAGGCTTTTAGTTGGCAATAATAAATATGAGTTCATTTTTGTAGTCTCCATCCCCTACAACTAAAATAGGGTTGTCCCTTTTTTCCTTGCCAGTTTTCCAGGACCACCACTACCTGCTCAGTTTATATTAGACAAATATACTAAATGTACTGTCCGGGGCCCATTTAAGAAAACAAAAACTAGAACAGGTATTTGAAGAATTTGGTATAGGGAATCAAACAGGTGTTGGAGCAAAAGGGACCACAGGTGCTTGGGCCTTAGGGGAAGGTAGAACCTCTGCAAAAGAACACCCAGCTACTAGCTGCTCCTGATGCTGTAAAAAGGTCCAATGAGTCAAGTTCTAAAAGAGTTTAAGGCCTCTACTAGGGCAACACTGACAAACAGCAAAAAATAAATAATTAAAAATCACTTTCCCCTTCCTAATACTGCTTATTTTTAATACAAAGTCTTTAAAGATTTATTTACGTATATAAAACTGGGGTGCAGGCCAGAGGTGCAGGGGCAGTGAGAGGATTCATAGCCAAAGTAGGGGGAAGAACAGGAAGATAAACTACACTTACTGAGATGAGCAGCGGTGAGACGAGAGAGATTCTGCACCATGTGAATCACCTACCTCCCAGATAGGGACCGAACTCGGAAGCGGCAGCTGTGCAGCGGAGAGGGCCCCCTAGTAGAACTTTGTAGGAAGCATATTGATAATAAGAATCTGTGAAGATTTTTTTATATTGCAGCAGAGTTTAAAATGTCAGGCTGTGAGCTGAGAACAAATGAGATTTTAAAAAAGCAAAGCACACCAGAGATGTTTTCCTTCAGTGCATTCTGGAACTAAAATGTCATGAAACTTCTATGGCAAAATATTAGAATGTAGCTATCCTTACACAATGGAGTAATCTGTGTGGGGAAATGATACTCAAACACAAATGGCCAGAAGTAAAACCTCGTTTAAGTATTTGTAAAAGCAAGGAGAACCTTCTAAACTACCTGTACCTCCCAATCCTTTAGTTTCTACTGCCTCAGTTATATACCACAAGTGCCCCCATCTTGACCAGAACAGATGATGCACAGTAAGATTTGTGTGTGCTGTCTTATACGCAGATTAACAATCACCAAAAGCCACCATTGTCCTGAGTCTTTAAAGCTTTCCATTTCCAAGAACCCCCTGAAATTTTCACCAAAGGAACTTTATCACCACTAACTTACCAGAGTTCCTTGGAGGGCATGCTCCAGAAATAATAGAAAGGAGGATAACAATTAAAGGCTGACTTTTGAGTAACTGAAATGGATAAGTAGGGCCCTCCTTGGTGACACGAGTTAAAGTGTAGCACTACAAAGCTAGCCACAGCCACTGCAGCACAGTTAATCCCCAGCCAGGTAGGTGACCCACATGGTACAGCAGACCTTTGCTATCTGGCCCACTGTTCCCCTCAGCAATGTACTTCATCAACCTGCCTGTTCTGCTCCCCACTCTGTTTCTGGTAGGTCCTCTCAACCCCCATACATCTGGCCCATACCCCAATTCTGTATGCATAAATAAATAAATCTTTTTTTTAAAAAAGTAACTCCAGTTTAAATTTAGTCTACAAAAAAGTCAGATGACAGAAATTGTACACAATTCCTCTGGCAAGAGACACTGAGGTAATATTAAATAGATATGCTTTTAATGGCTCAAGAATCTCTACTCCAGGGGGCCTCCATCCTTGTGGCTTTCAAGCTATCACTAGCCACTGCACCATGAGTTTGATCCCGAGTCAGGGAGCTAAACCACCTGGCACAGCAGACCTCTCCTGTCTTGCCCACTGCTTCCTTCAGTGTATTTCAGTCAGTCTGCCTGTTCTGCCCACCACTGTCTCTGGTGAATCTTCACATACACGTACCCATACCTCTGGCCTACCCTGGTTCTCGTATGCATAAATTTTTTTTAATTTTTTTTTATTAAAAAGTTTATTTTTACATCATTTTGCACATTTTTTTTCCCATCTCAATTGTAATCCCTGCGGGTTTCCCATCACCAAATCACCCCTGTGCCACCACCATAGTCCTGTGCATTTCCCTCCCTTCCCCCCCGCCCCCGTTTTTGATCCCATTCCCCACTCCACCCCCACAGAATGTCTCTGGTATATGGTTGTTCATTATTTT